TATACGAAAGTAAACATCCAAGATGGCGGCGCAAAATAAATTGCTGGCTGAGGCAATTTTAGAAGACAAACTTATCGTGATAATGCTGTCCCAACAACTTGTCTACAAGATATGTTCTCAACGGGCTTGTAGCACGCTTGTTAACAAGTTGTGTCAATGCTGTTCCAAAAGCAAGCTTGTAGACAAGTTGTTGGAACAGCATTATCACGACAAGTTTGTCTTCTAAAATTGCCTCAGCCAGCAATTTATTTTGCGCCGCCATCTTGGATGTTTACTTTCGTATACTACGCATGCGCTGTTACGACAATCCGTAAGCAGATAGCTTTCGTTCGCCGCACACGGAAAGATTTTGGCACGCGAGGCAGAAATTATCAAACATGTTAGATATTTGGCGTAAGTGGCACGAATGACGAAAGTCGTTCGTAAATCGCCCGCACACGAGAGCTATCTCCTTACGCCAACAGTCACGAATGACATTTTGCTAAGCACATAGCTCTAGTGTGCGCCGGGCTTTATCGAGCCAAAAGAGATCTGAGAGTGGAATAACTCCAGTTGCAAAGGACACCGTAACTGTAACAGAAAACTCGGGAACGGAAAACAGTAAAGACACGGATTACAGGTCATCAGAAATTGTCCTTATTGGGGATTCCATCATTAAACATATTGACCCAAAAAAGCTTGCAAAGAGGAAAGTGAGCAAATACACGTATCCGGGGAAATCTGCAGAAGACATCGAAGCGGAACTTAGAACAATCAAAGTCAATTCGACGCCCTCGCACATAATTATTCACGCTGGGACAAATAATATACCAGCTGATTCAGCTGAGGTATGTGTGGGGAAAATTGAAAGCCTTGTTCTTAAGATCAAATCCAAATTTCCAGATTCAAAAATTGGAGTATCGGGAATCACGATGAGACAAGATATCGAAGTGGGGCAAAATATCAAACAAGTCAACAAAAAACTAGAAGATTTTTCTAAAAATCATAACGTCTCGTTTATTGACAATTCCAGCATCAACAACACATGTTTGAATGGCAGTAAGCTGCATCTAAATCCTAAAGGTTCTGCATTTTTAGCAACTAATTTTATTAGATTCCTCAAAGGTGAACAACATGTGAGTCCAAGAAGACCACATAGAAGTTCCACAGAGGATTTTCATACCATAGCGAACCAACTGCTGATGACGTTACTAGCAGGGACCTCTCGAACACTACGTTAACAAGGTGTGATCCGGATCTAGGTATCTGTGACAATTCTAAATCGAGAGGTATAAAGATTGCTAGCTTGAATATCAATAGTTTATTAAAGCATATACATGAAATAAGAGTACTTCTTACAGAGTACACCTGTGATATTCTTGCTATCAATGAATCAAAAATAGATAACAGTATATCTGATAATGAATTACATATATTTGGGTATGATATTATTCGGAAAGACCGTAATAGATATGGGAGTGGTGTGGTTTTATATGTCCGTGATAACATACCATTCTCGGAAAGGAAAGATCTAATATCGAAAGATCTTGAGATGGTATGTATTGAAATTAATAGGCCATACAACAAATCACTTTTAATTAATGCGTGGTATAGACCACCAAACTCAGATATAAATTTCTTTGATGAGTATGCGGAATTTTTATGCAAATGTGAGGCTGAAAACAAAGAGTTATTCGTCTTAGGAGATTTGAATTGTGATGTTAGTAAAACTCCGCTCGATAATCAAACACGAAAATTACAATTCCTATGTTCTCTTTATCAGTTTGATCAACTTATCAATGAGCCAACGAGAGTTACGCCAACATCAGCTTCTTTAATTGATTTAATTTTAACTAACAAACCAGAAAATATATCCCAGTCTGGTGCTGTTCACCTTGGGATATCTGATCACAGTCTGATTTTTGCTGTTAGAAAACTTACGTTACCAAAATCAGGAAAAACGTCACCCATGGTTAGAGAAGTTAGAGATTTTAAAAGTTTTGTTCATAACGACTTTATTCATGATATATCCCAACTACCTTGGGATTCTATAAATCAATTTTCCAGTCCAAACACAACCTGGCAGGTGTGAAAATCGCTCTTTCTTGAAGCTCTTGATAGACATGCACCTCTACGGCAGAAGAGGTTGAGACAGAACCGCGCCATACCATGGATTACACCCCAAGTTAAACAGCGTATGAGAAAGAGGGATTTCCACAAAAAAACAAGCAATACAACACGATTCTCAGTCGCAATGGTTGTTATATAAGTCTGAGCGCAATAAAGTGAACATCGAGATCCGTAAGGCAAAGTCAAATATTTTTGCGAGAAAATTGAGCATTGTTCACTTTCTAAAAATGTTAAAAAAAAGCTGGTCCTTCATAAATGCCATTTCGAGACGAAAACGTAAATCGCCGAGTGTTAAAGAGCTTTTAATTAATGATACAATTGTTTCTGATGATAAAGTTATTGCTGAATCTTTTAATGATTTTTTTACGAATATAGGAATAAACTTAGCAGCTGAGTCTGATCAGCTCTATAATAGTTTGGGTGATGACCCAAATTTCCAGCAACGTTGTCCTGGGACTCGTTTTTATTTTTCCGATATCAGTGCGAGTAATGTTGCCCTGCGTCTTCAAAATCTTAAAGCTTCTAAAGCAACTGGTGTTGATAACATACCGGCAAAAGTTCTTAAGGCGGCAGCACACATCATCGCTCCATCGTTGACCGTTATATTCAAACAGTCTCTTAGCACTGGTATTTACATAAACGACTGGAAATTAGCTCGAGTATCTCCGATTTATAAATCAGAAGACCGAAAAAAGTGTGAAAATTACCGTCCAATTTCGATTCTACCCATTATAAGCAAAGTTTCGAAAGAGAAGTGTTTACTCAAATTTATAAATATCTGAATGAAAACTCGCTATTATCAAAATCTCAATCAGGATTTCGACCAAAACATGGAACTGTGGGCGTGCTTATTCAGATGTGTGACCAATGGCTAAGTGATATGGATAAAGGCAAAATAAATGGAGTAGTATTTTTGGATATTCGCAAAGCGTTTGATTCTACTAACCATAAGATTTTATTGAGAAAGCTAAAAAATCAATTTGGCATACATGATATTGAACTGAAATGGTTTGAGTCCTACCTAACGAATAGAGAGCAAGTTTGCTTGGTAAATGGCCACACATCCTTACCGAAGAAAATAAGATGCGGTGTCCCCCAGGGTTCAATTCTAGGACCATTGTTATTTTTACTTTATGTAAACGACATGCCAGATCACTTGAAAAAAACAAGTCCGTATCTCTATGCAGATGATACTCAAATTTCGTCCTCCTCATACGATTTTGAGACATTAGCTCAAAATTTAAATGATGATCTAAATAATATTCAGAGGTGGCTTTTAAAAAATAAGCTTCAACATCATCCCACCAAAACAAAAGTCATGTTTATTGGTTCATCTTATAACCTCATCAATAAAATTGGAAATATGCCAATATTGATGAATAATGCCCCAGTCCCTCGAACCAGCAAATATACATGTTTAGGGGTGGACATTGACGAAAAATTAACTTGGGATGCACACATCGATTCGATATGTTCTAAGTCAGTGCCGGAATTGGGGCTATGAAACGAATAAAGCCCTTTGTCCCTCCTGCAACTCTGCAAACAATTTACAAAGCATTAATTCAACCCTACTTTGAATATTGTTCCCCTCTGTGGGATACCTGTGGAAAAACACTTCAAGATAAACTACAAAAATTTCAATCCCTTGCAGCTAGAGTGATTACTGGAGCCAGTTATGATATTAGGTCTACTGATATTTTGGATGCTCTCGGTTGGCAAACACTTGATGTGAAACGTTTGGAAAATAAATTAATAATGATGTACAAAATACTTAATAACCACACTGCCCCTAATCTAAGCGAGTGTTTCTGCAAAAGAAACACAATTCAATCTAATTATGATTTGCGTAGCAGCGATACAGATCTATGCGTACCTAAGCCTAATAGTGAATTTTTAAAGAAAACTTTTCGATATAGTGGTGCCATGCAATGGAATCATCTTTCTGAGGATTTAAAAAATTCTGAAACCCTTTCTTCTTTTAAAAGAAAAATACGTCAGACATGAACACCCTCTTTGGTTCGTACCAATTGTCAGTTAAGTTTTTATATAACTCCTTTTCTATTATCCTTTGCTTCCTTGTTTTTTCTATATAGTTTAACTTGTATATAGTTTAATGTGTATACTTTTTAATTTGTAAATAGTTATTGTGTGACGCCCCTCATGAAAAGCAGCTCACGTTGATCGAGGCTAGCGTGTTTAAATAAAGTTTTACCATACCATACCACCATGCTTTATGAAACATAATTCAGCTCTTCAACCGCCCATTCGTACTTATAGCTTCATGCCTCTATACATGCAACGTGCTCTTTAATAGATTTGTACCACCATACTTTCGTTTAGCTCTTTCGTAAAGTTTATTCTCCATCAATGTTTATCCTATGACTAGGCGTGCTATCAGTTATTCATCATGCGGTCATGTTTTATAAATGCGATTCAATTGTATTGGCCGCCAATATTTGATAGAGGCATTCGCTTATAATCTTCATAGCCATATATCACAGTCTCCACACATTCCAATTTATTATTAAAACGGTACACGTGCACTCTGAGGCACTTCGTTTGTTAACTCGCTGGTAGCTGGGAAGTACCAAATTTTAGATGTTTCATTCGGATCAGAAATACAATTTGATATACCTGAGCGTTTTAACCTCCCACCTTGCTTTACTTCTCTGCTCCTCATAGAGCGAGAGGCATGCAACATACGTAAACAGTGACTTAATAGTGGCCGAGAGGTGGAAATTTAATTGTGTAATGATCTTGATAGTGGCTAACAAGTACAATTTAAATGTACAATCATGCCTATGTGGTGGCTGAGAAGTACAAATACAATGTGGAACGATTCCTCGATAGAAGAGGTAGAGAATTCCAATTTCAATGTGCAATGATGCCTCGGTAGTGGCCGAGAAACCTAAGTTAAATATGAAATGATGCCTCGGTCGTGGCCGAGAAGCCTAAGTTTAATGTCAAATTATTCCTCGGTAGGGGCCGAGAAGCACAATTTTATGCAAACCATGCATATTAAATCAAATTGCCTTTAAATCAAATTCCTCGGTGGTGCCTGAGCTGTTATGTTTTGTTTTGTTTCTTTCAACTTAAACTTATTTGGTAGTGGCCAAGTATGTTTCACGGCTCACATAACTCGGTAGAGGCCGAGAAGTCATGCGTTATGAATCAAAGGACTCAGTCTGAGAAGTTGTCTTGCATAGTTAGACGATCCCGCATGTTGTTATACCGTGACTTGATTTCATATCCTTCCTATGTTTCATTACGATCAGTTTTTCACCTTATACCTTCGCCCAACCATTGTTGGAACCGGGTGCGGGCGTCTAATGCCTTTTGTGCCTCTAGGGGCTGCCTGGGACCGACAATGGGGTAGGCGATCCCTCGTACCTACAGTATGTCGACCTGCGGTACAGCCACCCGACACTGAATGCTCAATGACAATGGTTTACGTGGAGCTAGGGTTCGCCTTCCCGTATTGTCGATCCAGAGCGTATGATCTTTATAACGTCTAACGTAACGAATTGGATAGAATTGCTGTTTCTAAGCCAAAAGCGGACAGGTTTTAATGTGTGTCAGTTTACGTTCAAACATGATGCTCTATCGATCGTTACGTCGCTGGGTCAATGGACATAGGCCAATGGACATAGGCCAATGGACATAGCTAGGCCAATGGCTAATACAGCTCACTGTGAAAATTTAAAGAATTTTATTTACGAACCAAGTAATTTATTTCGCGAAACGACACACATATCGTGTCGTGTAATGGTATTCTATCATTTTATTCAGATATATAAGCTTGTTCGTTTAGTTTATTATTATGCAACATTTGTATCGCAGATCACGCTTATGCTTCCACCCTGTTCCTATCCGGTATCCCTCAAATAGATCCTCCAGTTTGAACTTGTTTCTTTGTTTTTGTTATCCAGAAAGGAAAGATGGAGTGCATACTCGACATTCTATATCCGCACTCTAGTGTATATCTATAGAGGCTTGCATGGCATTGTCTTTGTCAAAATGTCATAATGTTTTGCATTTTCTTTCACCTATTTGCGCATCGATGATTGCTTAGTTTCGGGGAAAAGCAGTTATGGGATATGTGGTAAGTTTTGGGTGAGTTTTGGGAATAAGTTTCGGGTAATGCTAGGATGAAGGGTAGGATAGGGCTAACGTTACCCAGTTGGGAAGGTAGGAGATCTTACCCGGCGCCAGGGCTCGCATTTCCCAAAACTATCTACCTGTAAGCAGTTAGAATAGATTACTGTTCGAAGTGCAATCATGCGTAACCAGGGTTGGTAAGTTGCTGAATAAATAAGCCAAATATTATTATCATAACCTTTGTTTCCTTTGTTTGAAACAAAGACATCAAAGGGCCGTTTATAACAATGTTTGGCTTATTTATTCAGCAACCTACCAACCCTGTGCGTAACATTGGCTATAAAACAAGGGGATCTCAATAGTTCAGGGTCAGGTTGTTAAACGCGGCGCAGGTGTGTGTTAGTCGGAAAGACATAGCTGTGTATACATGTGTGTATATATAGGTAGGAAGCAGCAATATTGTGTCACAGATTCTGTTTTAGCGCTTTTCCCCACCCGTCCCCTCCCCAAGGTACGTTTACTCCCTCGCTCCTCGGCTTACGGGCTCGCATTTCCCAAAACTATCTACCTGTAAGCCAATGGGAGCATGAGGGCAGTTAGAATAGATTACTAGTATGAGCCCACGCTACTATGGTCAGTCAGTGCAATACAATGTTTGAATTACATGAAGTAGTGGGCATTCTATTATTGAAAAAAATTAAAATCAACATAATTTTCATCGTGATGAAATCTGGATGAAACTATGCGATATATAGGATGATGACAAGGTATTTTAAATAAACACAATCGTACTTTTCTGCCCCCTTTGTCCTCGTTTGCAATATTATCTTGAAACAAAATTAGGGGGGGGGGTGTGTGGACCAAAATGCCTGAATTTTGATGCCCAAAATTCTTGTCATTGAGTGGGAGGGGGCAACAATTAACGCGTTTTATTTTAACCATTTGCCTATTTTTTAGTAGAATGTTTCCATTTTTATGTAGCATTGCACAATTTTTAGACAAAATCTGCTCGATTTTTAAGTAGAATTGCCCGAATTAAAAATTATTGGGAGATGCCCCACCCGGCCCTCACCTACGCCTATGGTCTTTGCACATTGCCAAGCCTTCTATTGCCCTGTAATGTTTTGTTTTTTATTGCATTCTGTTTCTTAGTGTGGAAGGCCAAACCAAAGCTACCGTTGTCCAACATGTAACGCCAACATTGGTGGCGAGGGCTACCATTTAGCAATAAACAACAAAGATGCATCCAGGTGAGTGTGTACAAAGGTAATGCAAATCGGTTTCCAATAATTTCGTGCAGGGTGTGTGTGTGTGTGTAAAATTATGCTTATAAAAGTAAAGCAGAATATTTAAAGCAATGTTTTAGTCGTTCCGGAGGTGTTCTGCGTTGTAACATATTAAACCATTATGCTCAGCGTGGTCATATGTTATTACTCCCGTAATAGCATAGTTGCCCATGTTTCTTTTGTTTCAACAGGGTCGATTACTAACTAATCTCCCGCAATAGCGGGCGATTAGTTCTAATCACCCGTTGGCAAGGGTCACACCCTTTGTCTCCCTGCCGACTACGCATTAGGCAAGTGCCTCACGCACATAATCGTGCAAGGAACAGCAACAGTTAGCTCAGAGCCGTCAATAGTCTATCAACCGATCCCTGAGCATAGATTAAGTAAGGGCAGATGTGTAACTTCAGTAAAAAAGTTGTCCCACGGTCGCCATCTTCCTAGCAAGTATCGCTCGCGTGATTATTCGTCATTTGGTAGTAGGTCATTGCTTTCAAAAATGTTTTCAACACCTTTTCGGCTTTTCTACAACTTTAATTGCTTTTAACAACTTTAAACATTCAACAAATGATGCTCTTGATTGTTTAATCCAGGCACGGTAACCCACGCCCGCGATCATTGATGAACTTTAGACTTCGCTAATGCTTTCCTTTCCCCGGGTGTAAATAGCCAGGCGGAATTAGTACCCTCGCCCTGAGTTTACGCCTGGAACGGCGCTCCGCGCCGTTGGATCGGGGAATATTAAATCTCTATAGTTACAAAGCAACAAAATGTATGACAGTGTTACCACTTTGAGTGAACCAGGTTCGGTTCGCGGTTGGCTAATTTTCAACCAAATACTTCATGTTGAAATCATGTTTGGACACTAAAGTTTGGCAAGCAACGGCGAGGTGTTGCTGCATGCATGTATTTCTAGTAAGTAGTTGTGGCCCCGAAACTTGGCCGAAAATTTTTTGGCCACTATTAAGAAATCTTTGAATATAATCGCTAGCCTAATTTTAAGCTTATTTATCTTGATTTACTATACATAGGCAGGGGTGAATATGTAAAACCACGCACATTTATACTAGAAAATACTTACAGTGCAGCAACCCCTCGCCTTTCTTAACAGATGAAGTATAAAAACTCCACATAAAGTATTTAGACCATTATACACAAACATAAAAACACAACTGATGCGCTAGCTTAATGAACGATAACGTTCGCTGCAATTACATATTATTAGTCGCTGCGAGGGCGACTATAGGTTTCGGTCGGCATTTTTCTCCAATCTCCAATCTCCACGTTACAAAGTGGAATGCTTCATGTAAGCATCAACTATAGTTCAGAATAGTTTATAAAGGCTGTTCCGGAAGCGAAAAAAGCAAATACATACAGAGGAATAGCGTATGGAGTCAACCAAGTGCGAATATTCATAAAAATCAAACAAATGCGTGTTTTTGCTGTGTTCACCAGGGGCCAGTTGTACAAGTTCACCTAATAGTCAAATTTTCAACCGGCATAAAAATGTTTTAAAAGCTATAAAACTATTGATATAGAGGCTAAAGATAATAAAAGAAACTCCAATTTATTAATACTATAACTTAATTTGGGTTATACAAAATTTACAAAAATCTAGCAAGTTTTAGAAGGCTTCAAACAATCGTTACCCAATGCATAGCGCTATCCATAGTCTATCAAGGTATGATGGTCTGGAAACCAAACAGAAGTTTTTGTTTTATGTTTTTGTCTGAGTTTATGTTAATTTGTGCACGGTCACGGTGATTAAGCTTGCAATAGGGATAGCTAAAATGAAATGTGCAACCCGACGATTAATAATATTTAACTTAATGAAGTTGAGACAAAGGATTTGTGCACGGAGAGGTACAGTTCAACATCAAACAACGACCTTCTATTTTGTAGCTTTGAAGTTTGGCGGTATTCCAGACCATCCTATCCTGTACAGTAGACTATGGCTAAAAGTCGGCTCAGAAATATTATATAGCATGCAAAGACTGAAATTCTTGGGTTCACTGCAAGTTAAGGACTGCAAGCAAACGTACACGTCATGTTATTTTTAAAATACTTCTATATATTGCATGGTGGTTTAATTTCAAATAATTTATTCATTAATCATTATGGTGTAAGTTTGAATTACAATGTGTGTTTCTTTATACAGGGTGTCCCAAAAAAGCAGCAAACTATTGAAAAAACGTATTGTTAGAATTTGAATGCCTTAGCACTAAGCTGAACGCAAAGATGCGTAAAATATTGACATATAAATATTGACCTATTAACAAATTAAAATATCTTTGTAAAATTTGCACAATTTTCTGCTCTTGAGAATTTAAAGCAGCTTCTTAAACACTTTCTTTATGTATAAAATTTACTTATGTCAAGCTTTTATCACTTGTGTGTTCAGCAGAGTTCCGAGGCATTCAAATTCGAACAATATGTTATTTCAATAGTTTGCAGTTTTTTTGGGGACACCCTCTGTTTTCGTTATATCAAACTTCAAAAGTATCGATGCTGATCAGAGCAAAGGAAAAATGATTTTCGTTTGTTAAAAGGTATTTTGCACCGGCAGGGGATTACGTGGGAAACATCAATAAATGTTGGTCTGGAGCTCAGCAACTGCTATCATCGGCAGTTGTTATGTCTTTCTAGTTCCAAATATATTCGAATTGATTTAAAATATTAATACCTGTCATATCACTGTATTCTGTAGTGGGTTGCAGCAGTAATAATTCATTTTAACGCTACCTACTTGGGCATGAATCGGCGACTTAATTTGTCTGTGTAGGCAGGTATCACAGAATAAACAAGCCTCTATTTTAATATTCCCAGCGACTAAACGCTCAATAGAGCGTCTCGTTGAGTTAAGAATGGCTTAAAAATTTCGCAGGTATGAAAAAAATCGACAACACAAAGCAAGTACGGCATGGAATATTACTACTGAAATTATTACACTTACCCAAACCGGCACAACAACGATTAAATTATTAAAAACATCAACATCAAAACAATTATTACAAATTTTGTTTCACGGTTGAACAGCCACTAATTTTTGAAACTGCAGGCTTATTTCCAGTTAAAATCGGAGAAAAGAACGTTTTGTACTTTCGTAAATCTTTTAAAAAATTTAAAACAAAAAATTGCTGTAAAACAGCAAAATACGTCCTTTCAAAATGAAAAACAATTATTTAGCCAGAGCTTGTACTCGCGCATGCACATAACGTCAAAAACCGTCCATGACATAAACAAAATGGAGAACAACTTTGCCCTTCGCTATGTTTTCACATACCTGGGTATGATTAGCCCTGCGGAATTAGTACCATCGCACCGGACCTATACACCCGCTCGGGGATAAAGATGTGGTTGTACCAGTGGTGTAGTGGTAAAGAATCGGAACAGAAATCCATGGCTGCATGCGGAATCACTGAATATTCATTTCCCCGGGGATTAAAATCTATTTATAGTATTATAACAAACATAACGGCGAGATATCGAGTGTAGTAGGAATATTGAAAAATTATATTGTTACACAGTTTGGGTTTTTTTCTTTGTTTTCTTCTAATTTTGTGGCAATCAGGCAAGATCGAAGTAGCACTGGTCACATTCTTGGCCGTGCCCAAGCTCAACAACAAAATGTGACATCCGTACGAAATTTAACTCACTTGTCATGTGGTGTCTTACGTTGCCTGACGCATGTGGCCATGTTGTTGGGAACAGATCAGAATATTCAGGTATATTTGTCAATTGAACTTGTTAAACATTTATATTGCGCTCGTTGTGAGAAGTTAAATATTTATTTTATTTTTATAATGTTGTATAATATTTTCCTTACAAATATTTTCCTACAATTTTCAGTTATTGAGCACCCAAATTTTCTAAACATAGTGTAATCTTTATCAGTAAACTTAGAAAATTTGGATGCTCAATGACCATTGTCACCTTACGTGTAAGCCGAATATGTCTAAGGTGGTTCCCTGCAGTCTAAGACTACGCTTAAGCCGTGTTTACACTACGACGCACTTCGGCCTGGCCTAGGCCAGGAAATCTGGGCCACCTGTTCTGATGGACCCAGATTTCCTGGCCTAGGAAATCTCGAAGTGCGTTTACACTACACAAATCTAGCCCGATGGTAGGCCCAGGCCAGGCTTAGGCTCGTAGTGTAAACACGGCTTTACACTTGTATCGGATAGCTTTCTATAGCGAAATGGAAAAAAAACATCTATCCTCGCCTTTTAGGAACGCTATTTTCAGATAAATTATTGCAACGGAAAGATGTTGTTTCGCTCAGCTTCTGAACGTTGTACATTCTGTGTCTATAATATGGGTGCTCTTTCGCACCGGAACGGAAATTTATCTCGTACAGTGTAAACGTAGCCTTAATGTCCGTTAGTAATTTTTATGTGGTCATGATTTATTGATTTAGGCCTACATGAGTTAATAAATGTACTCTTTGAAGCATGGAATAAGTATAAACCCTAAGAGGCATTAATAACGTAATCTTTGATCTCGTGCACATTTTAATTCCTTATGAAATTTCGGTATACTGTTTTGAAAATAAAATATATCAATGTTTTAACCAGAATATTGCTGCTGTCATAAAACCACCAGTTCATGATGTTGTCCAGTTTTTAAAAGAACATATACAACATGATATAAGATGTATAGCAAAAAGTACTGGTAACAATGATGATGAGGCGATGCAGATAGTCCATCTAGTGCTTGTTGGTATTGTAAACAACCTGGGTCAGCAGGGAGGTACGTTTAATCCTGTAGATTTGTAACTGATTGCACTGGTTTTTTCTAATATACTTCACCTGTTCTGTTGCTGTAAAAGTAACAATTAATCTAACACGTATATAGTGGATTTAGAATTTGGAGTCAAGCGTGCATGTCCTCTCAAAGTCAAAACTCGCAACCATGCACACGACCTCGATCTCTAACTGAAAGTCACAATGGATGTGTCACTGTTTATTCGTAGCATTTTGCAAAACATATGATTGAATGCCTTCATTCATGATCAGAAATTGCGAACACATATTGAGAGCTAAGATGAACATGCGTAGAATGAATATGCTGACATGTACTGAACATTAATGTGGAAAACTGCGTGGTAAATTATTTCACTATACAGTCGGCAAAGTTTCTGATCAATTGCAATGTAATGTAATTATATTTTCCTACAAATATTTCCTTGAGAATAAATAATCATGACTCATTAAGTCGCTAGGGATGATGTAATGCTTGTATGGAGAAGTATAAAACAGCCAGGTGTCATATCGAAGTTAACTGAGTTTTGCGTTACATAAAATATTAACTAATGACTTTATTGTAGGTTACGCAAATATTGATGGAAACCTGATCACCAAAGATTCAAGAACAACTTGGGAAGATGCATTTATGACCACTTTTTTGACTCCTGTTCTTTCCGTAAGTTTTTACACCACATAATCATACACTATTACACATACAGTATATTATCCCATACCTGTGTTAAAAGCGGCTTTCTGATTGGTTTAGAGCAGGTGAGCTTGTCGTCGAGCTCACCTGCTTTTTGCCGAGCTCACCTGCTTCTCGCCCGAACTCACCCGCTAAACTGCTTACGTTGCAATAACAATAACAAATATGGCGGACAAGATTTAGCCGATAAACCTAAACTTTAAAGAACTTTTTTCGGTGACTAACATACTGAGACTGAAGAAAAACCAAAGAAAAATGCAGTAAAGGTAATGTAGACGTAGATAAAGAAGTATTTTCTTGCCCAGTGATTTTTTGGCCGGGAAAATGTTCACAAAACATCGACGAATATATCGCGAAGAGCTACAAATGTGTGTATGGCTCGGTGTATGGGATAAAAACCAAACGTACTTGCAGGTTCGGTGAGTCCGGGATTGGACGCACCTCGGGTGGCTGGAAGTTTCCCGAACTCACCTTGCTTCGCTCGGTAAGTTCGGGAAACTTCCAGCCACCCTCGGTGCGTCCAATCCCGGACTCACCTCCCTGCAAGTACGTTTGTTATATGATGCTGTGGCAGTCTATATATTCTACATATACTTATATGTGGAAAATGAGCACTAAATTTTCTGAAAAAATAATCTAGTTGACTAAAAGTAGCGGGATATACCAAGGGGAAACATAATTTAAAGGCGAATAAAGAGAAGAAATGCCCTTCAAAAGACATGGGGGAAAAGGGGAAAAAATACAAAAAATATATATGATTTGTTTGAAATGAAGTTCAATTGGATATCGGGTTCTAAATAATTGTTACATTCTGACGTTCTTAGGCTATTTCCGACTTGCTCCAGGACAGTTTGGGTCGTATGGTCCGAGATGAGAGACTCGGTATGTAACAATTTTTTTACAGAGATTTTTTATTTTGTTCCAACAGTGAGAGAGAGTTGTGGCATTTTATTTTGATACCTCATCCACACTCGCAAGTGAGGACAGTCATTGCAAAATCCCGGCCTTCCGTGTCAGATTTCACATCCATAGGCGTGATATTTACATTTGAATCATATTTAACCATCTCATCTACGTGATTTCAAACAAAACATAGGGAGAGTTACGAAATTTGGTATGGTCATTTAAAACGTGGGTGTGGTTTGGGCGTGTCTGGCACATAGCTGACCAAATCGTAACTCTTCGGTGACAGCTCAACTTTAATCATACCAAAGAGTCTCAGCTCGCTTCTATATAAATCTTGTGTACGTTCCGAAACTTCCATAGCGAAATGGATAGATGGACGAATTAACGGTAACATTTTTACGTGGCCAAAACTTTTATGTTATTTTTTACCAGTAATGCTAACATATTCAAAACAGCTTGTAACCCATCATTCTTAGAATTACAGTATCAGATCAAATTCGTTTTTTTACACACCATTTTGTGTAATCCGACCAATTTCTGGGACACACAAACATGCATACATGCACAACAACTATATTAACTCTACATATAGCCTCTGTGCATCTCTAAGCTTAAACGATTAAAAGCCTCCTCATAATATTCAGATATCCTTAAATCACCAGCCAGAAATACAATTCGAGTTACTTGACACAGAAGTACTATAATATTTGCATGGGTTTCCCATATTTGAGAGCTCTAAACAAACATTATCGAAATTGTCTACGAAATTGCAAACAAAGGTTTTCCACTTTTGACTATTGACTGTTGCAATTAACACTGTGCGAAACTGAAAATCCTTGGATAACTGTCGATTTTCCAGTAATTCGCAATAATATTTAAACTTCGTCCATCTATAGGCAATAATCGTTTGATGAGGTTGCTGCATGAACTGGATGGCCCAAACTATGAGTCCATAACCGAACTCGACTCAATGTGTCCAGCACTATGGCGATACCGCAAAAAAATCACAATAGAAAATTTATCGTTCAAGTTTCAAGAGTATTCGCAAGGATGCGATAAGCCAGAGAGATGTGAAGTTCTGGCGGAATTCTTGAAAAAGGTATGCGAACAAATAACTCTAGAAGAATATGAGAGAAAGTTATACCTTTGCATGTTAACTGTTCCATTTCTGGAAATAATAATTTCGCATGTAAAATGTACTTTTCATATTTGAAAGAATACGTGAAAGGGAAATTTTATAAGTAGAAATTTTGAATTTTACATATAAAAATATGAACTGCCCGCACGTAAAATGTTCCAATTAGAAAAAGAATTTTACACGTGACATTAAATGTAAAATCTTCGCAACGTAGGGACCACTCCAATGGTGCTGTTGAGCTTCCTCTTTTGGCCAAATTTTCAATTGCTGTAAATCAAATATCGTGGTAGTGCCTTGGGCATGCCCGGTTGTCAAGAGTCTACATTTTGGGCATGCCCTGTTGTGGACAGTCAAATTTTACACAGCATCCAACTTGCAATTCTAATCAGACTGTACGTAACAATATTTTAAGAAATAGTAAGTCCGTCATAATCGGAATCTCATGATTTTAATTGTTTCATCGTTCATTTTGTTGTTTTGTTATTGTTGTTGTTGTTGTTGTTGTTGTTGTTGTTGTTGTTGTTGTTGTTGTTGTTGTTGACGCAGAAAAAATGACAACATTTAGAAATATAACGGGATGTTTCATTCTCTAGTAGCCACTGACCATAGGGAAATTATAAAAATCTGAGAATAAAATTTGATTACAAAAAATTACTATTGAGAAATACAATTTCTCGGTCGATTTTTATTTACGTACTATTGTCCCAACGAACAATTATTTAAATTTTTTTATATACTTCTGTAGGAGCATCATCTCCGTACGTTGCAATATCTTCCAGGTATTATAAAACTACAGCGTCTGCTTTTCGAGAAATTTCATCGTCGTTTGGATCGAAATGAAGCGGAGGAATTCACTCTGGGAAAATTCTTGAAAACATGTAATTATTACATTAACTTTACCTAATTTAAGTATGTTAAACTGCGGAATTTGTAAACCTAATATTAAATTCAAACAGAAAAATACTTCTATAGCCAGTTCGTATAATGTCCATGCACTGTGCAGATTATGCGGTTCTTATCGGAATAATATAATTGCTGTTGAGTTCTGACATGTATACGTACAGTACGAAGCTGAAACTGGAAGATTTGAAACATTTGAAGTTTCAGAAGCGTTCGTCTTATTGGCACTACCTACACTGGCACAGACCATTCAAGAGTATTGAAATTCGCCACTTTACTCATCATTTGTGTTTTACACATGGCCGCGATAGAAGTATTTGATCCAAACGATTTCGTGCAATATGATTCAAACGCTGAACATTGCTTCGCAAGTGCTCAAAGTGCGAGACATTTTACCCATGTTCAAACGGTGAATAAAAGGAATCACCATTCACTGAAATAAATGTTTGAAAACATTAAAGCTTAAATGCATTTTATCCCGTGAGTCTAGCCATGTTAAATTTTATTACATGTTTCACGCGAAGACGAGCTTAGTTGGTTCCTGAAGCTCACGACCCTCGCTTCCGTGTTACTTAAAGCACGTTGATGTGGTTGTACAATTGTATCATACTATCATTACGTCCTCTTTTTCTTTGTCAATCGCCATTTTTGCATTTACTGTATCGCCTGTTACTGTGTCGCCGTTTTGCAATATATCCCCATAATTGAGTATCTATTCATTTGAGGAATGTCTTCCAAGTTTTTATACTTTTTAATTTTGTCTTCAGCTACTCAAGTAAAAGAACAATTCAGTGCTTTGGTCAACAATTTTAAAATGGCTTGGAAAATTGTCCGATTGTCCCTTTCGCAAGATGGCAAGTATTGTTTTGAAATTCTCTATATCTTCCAAAACGCATTAATTTATAAGTGCTTTGCCAATGAATTCAATAATATCTTTGGTTTAGTCCCTTTAATAATATATAAGAACTCCCTCAATAATATTCTCCTTACCAAACAAGTAAGAGTTATAAACCGAGTAGGAGGTTTATAACTGATATATTGACCCGAGGACGCGTAGCGTCCGAAGGGCAATATATCAGTTATAAACCAACTTACTCGGTTTATAACTAACTTATATCACACTTGCGGAGGTTTTCCAACATATTTTGTCATTTTCAAAAATTTTTAATGAAAAATTCTCGCGTTTTGTCTACAAGTTTAATCCAATCATTTATTCAAGGTCTATAAGCTAGTTATAAACCTCGGACGAACAAAGAAAACCGACGCAAGTGTGATATAATTACTAATAAGACCTTTTTAAGTCGTTAAATAGATTCGCATTGTGCGCTTTATAGGGTTTAATTTAAATTAAACCATTGCGCTCATGTCTTTTCAACCGAACAACAATAACATTCTATTTCACTTACACTTGGAAACAACCACTATTGTTATATAGCTATGGTGAACACCAAACATGATTGGCTGATTTGTGGTCACGTGACTTCAGATAAATGCAATGTGTCCCGCCTGGCAACAAGTGAAAAATTGTTGCCCGCCCCGACCGGCTACTTACATAAATAAACAAAATGGCGGCACAACTAGCATAATTAGAAACTACGTTTTCCCAAGTTTGTGTTCAAATGAAGAATGTAAAAGAGAAGAAAAATACCCAACAGGCAACAGAATAGGCTGCTGAAACCGTTTAAGCAGGTTCTTTTAATTATAAACTCGTTTACACTATAGAGTTTTTGTCACTAAATCAGTACAATTGTTGTATGAATGTTGTTGAATGTTAATTTTTGTTCGTCGCTAAATAACAAAACGCTTAATGTCTGTTCCCTCGGGAAATAGTTAGGTTTTAGTCGGGCAGATAGAAGGAAAAACTTACTATATCGTGGGACAATTCCATTTGCCTTCATATTGTGTCCTGAAGGCTAGTAAGTACGTTTCTGTATGTTGGCCGCGTTAAAGGTTCTTGTGGGCTCCTGCCGACACGTTTTTCTTCGAATTTTGTATTAAACTCTATTACAGGTAAAAAATGTGAAATTTCAAATACATTTCTAACACAAATGACTTACATCATTTGAAAACTTGCAAAAACTACATATCATATTAGACATGTAAACGGTTACCCGGGATTTTGAAGTTCTTCTTTAGTTATGAGCTGTTGAATGCGTGTTTTCAGACTAGTACCCAGGAATTTTGCGAGATTTTGGTTTATTTTTCACATTTAAAACAGCAATAACTCGAAAACCGCTTGAAATTCCCAACTAACCATTTATATGTCTTATATGTAGTTTTTTGTTAGCTTTCTATTGATGCAAGTCATTTGTATTAGAAATGTATCAGAAATTTCACATTTTTTAACTGTAATAGAGTTTAATACAAAATTCGAAGAAAAACGTGTAGGCAGGAGGCCACAAGAAATTTTAACGCGGTCAACATACAGAAACGTACTTACTAGCATTCAGGGCACAATTTGAAAAAAAAAATATGATAAAAAATATGATTTACATTAATTTTTTACCAGTTTCGAATATTGGCCGTTATTATTGATTTCCCGAATCATTGTGGTTTTTTGGAACACTACCCGTTTTGTCCAATGAAAAGCCATGACAAACGAGCTTCTATACACTTGCTAGTGTTTAACAGAATTGACTTATTACCCAATTACAAACATGGTCGCCTCTAATTTCTTCTAATTTCATGCACACTGTTGTTGCAGGACAACAACTAATTTATCTTTTATTATACTGTAGGTCCTTATTCAATTTCCCAGGAAATGTGCCTCAATGAAGTGACAAATTCAACACCAATTTCCATGTTCTTGCCTGCCAAATCAGGCCAGGGAAGATGTGCTTTGGCTTTGAACAATTTTCTCGTTACCTTACATAATGATTTTATTGGCCGTTGTAAGAGCTTACTAAAAGATGAAAGTCGGTATGTGTTGTAGTATAGATGGATTTTGTCTTGATAGGAAGCACTTCAGCTATTAGTCCTTTGCAATCTATGTCATCTTGATTGATTTATAACAAAAGGATACCACCAACTCTTTATTGCTGCTTGTTTGTTTCCGTGTTATCTAGCTATAGAAATACTTTCTTCCTTTTTGGAAGAACTCGAAATTGCATGGAAACACTCGCCCTTCGATTTCGTTTTCCTACTGATCAATTTCTCCTGTCCACGTGTCTTTAAAAACCTACCACATGCACTTCTATTGTCCTCAATTTGTTTAGGTATTTGACTCAAGACCTCATATTAAAAGTTAGGTGCCGGCTTTTGAATATCTACAGGAAAGAGCGGGGCTGAGAAAACACTCATTTCAGGTTTTGAATCTAAAATTCAAGACCCGGTATTGGTCAAAATTCAAGACTTATACCGAGTCGTCAATTTGCAATTCAAGACCTGGTAGACCTTGTAAAGGCAAACTGCCGTTGCTACAAAACTCAAGCCCCACATCTTCCTTTCAAGTAGACAACGCTGCACGTCCCTGAGTCGAGAAAGAGACAACACGCGTGTACCTTGGGCCCGTCAAACTTTTCCAATTTACCCTATTTTTAGAGTCACGGATAGGTAACTTTCCTAAAACATTACTATTGGTTAGTTGGGCAAAATACACGTGATGGTGAAGGACCAGATTATGAATAAAGCTCTATATCTTTGTTAAAATTATATTAATGGTGTTTTATAAGTTTGGTGGTGGGTAATTTTATACATAGGGAAGAATAACTGGAAGGAGGTACACCGGCTCCCAACGAAACGTTGCTATCGTCATGGAAAACGAAAAAACCTTAATTTCAAAGAATATTGCTGCATTGGAAAGACGTAATTTTTTAAATTTTTTTTAGTCCACCAGAAATACCGTTAGCCAATATAACTAAGGCTCATCTTGTGGCATATGATCCAGAAAAGGATTTCTTACCAATGATCCTCGCACACTGTGATTATTCTCTTAAAGTTGGTGAGGGAACTACAGTAGAGTTTAACTGGAAGTGTTTGGAAAGACAGCTGGTGGACAGATTTATCAGAGGAAGACCTAGACTAATATCTTTGGTAAATACTAACAGTGAACATAGAATTAGAATTTAGAAGCGGGGTGTATAAAATTCATTAAATTCATAAAATTCAATCATAGATTTGGACAAGAATAAATAATAAATTGCTTATGTTTATACATTAATGAAATACTTGTCGATTCAGCTTCTCAGTAATTGGCTAATTTAAAAAACCACGACAATTAAAAAACTGTTATTAAGAACCAGGTATTACTAAAACCATGGATGCTTCCTCTCGCGCGAAAAATCGTAGCATGTTTTCGCATCAAAACATTGCAGACTGCAGTCATATTCCTAACGCCGTCACATCGTCTTCTTTGGAATGGCGATGTCTGATTTCTCCGTGACAAATTTTGTTGAGATAAGCTAATACAAGTTTGAAATTTTCGCATTCCTGAATATTTTGACAAAAAAACGTTTGAAATGAAATGAAACGATTTTTGCGTGATGCATCCCCGGTTTTGATGATTTATACAATTGTCCATCATTTTTTTTCCATTTTATTAACTTTACGAGTTGTATGATAACACAAAATTCCATGCATATTTTAAAGCCCCACGTGAATATCCCTCTCTATGTTTTAGCTTGCTGGGCTTGTCATTTACAAAATAGCATATTAATAATATATTGGGTTTTTCTATGCTTTTCTTAGGTTGAGTTGTTTGTGTTTAGTAAGGATATTTGTGACGGAGAAGTATTTAAAGCCTTAAAACAGAAGATACCTCAGGTAGATTGAAATCATTGTAAATGTACAAAAACATTGTAGTTGAACAATACTATGTTAAAACCACATACAGGGGCGAAACGTGAGGGGGGTATGGGGGTGTGGCACCCCCCCCCCCCCAAAAAAAAAAAACCCCAACAAAAAACGAATCATCTGGATTGGCAGGGCAATCAAAGATTTTAAATGATGGAATGTAGAATTATTAAGTAACTTACAGGGCTTTCAGAGGGAATTGAATAGAATTTATAGACCTAAATTTTACAGATATTGATCCAAAAATAAGGGTTCACCCATGTTTTAACAGGAATTTGTACGGAAAAATTTTTTTGACCCTTAATTCAACTGGTTTATGTCCGGAAAATTTTTCGACCCCTTTTTTTAATGTCCGGAAAAATCCCACCCACTCCCCCACCCAGCCCATTTTTGGGAAAAATAGTGGCCAGAAAACAAAATTTGCTGCAGGGCACCATCGGTTATGGCAAAGCAATTCTGGCAGACACCCCCCGAATTAAAAGGGGCTAGTTTCGCCCCTGACCACATACATTCTTGTGCATTTATTTTCTGACTAAACATTTCGTCAAAGACAAAAAATAATGTTAAGCTAGTCGGTTAAGTTAGTTTCATATTTATTCTGACAATGCAGAGAAAAACAAAAATTTGGTGTCTCGAGAGGGATTTGAATTCCCATCTTCGGGTTTTTAGGGGATCAATTTTGTTTGTGTATCCTCCACACTACGTATTTCTTACAATCCATACGTACCTGTAAATTGTACTTAGCGTTTACACATACACGTGGATGTTTACACTCCCGAATGCTGTTATTCTTGCTCCTTGCTGGTCCATGACTACTTCAACAACAACAACAACAACGACAACAACAACAACAACAACAACAACAACAACAACAACAACAACAACAACAACAACAACAAAATAAAAGGCTCAGTCTATCGCCAAGGTCGTTTTCACTACGACGACAGTCCATATCTATCCGAAATGCTTCACTGAATGACATTGCTCAATTAGTCTAAATTACTTCTTAGTGACTGTCAGCTCAATGAGCTGGTAGATCTGTCACTCTGCACAGAATCATGGCCAGAAATTACGGACATTAGTAAGGCAGTAGAGCAGGGACGCCGGAACTGGGGGGCAGGGGGGGCGGCTGCCCCCCTTGCCTTTTGCTAGGGGGGGCAGGGGGGGCAGAAGTGCCCTTTTAGTTGTAAAATAATACGTGATAAATCACATTTCCAACGATGCTTTTTGTAG